AATAAATTGTTGGTGCCGAATAAGGTTGACACTTCTGCACAGATTTTATGCAGGCCTACTCGTTTTACGTAAGTCAATTAACAGATTTTTGATTCCAGTGAATTTGACAAATTAGTATCTTTCTCGGTACACGTCATACGAACGTGTTACGTCACCACACTACGGATGAGGCATTTGTATTTACATACACCGAACGTGAAACCGGCATTTCACCCAGCGTATCTCAAATCGACAAAATGAATATTTTCACGACACAATGCACTCGGTTCCCGGATTGCACGATACAAAAGCAGAAACTTTCATACCTGTTACATAATAAATTGTACACATTCTTGACCACCTTCATTACATTACCTTTACTTGACGAGTGAGAGTGGAGAGATACATACCATGGCGTAAAAGGGCAGAAAGAAAAATTAATCAAGCGGTATGAAGTCCCTACATTGCGACAAAATCTCTAATCGTTTAGGTTAAAACTATTTTTTGCTAGGTAAGTCCTGTCTCATACCTACTTATAAAAACGCAAAACTGGCCACGTTTTCATGAAGACAAATTTATCTCCATTCATAACACCACACTAAAATACGTGTAGATGAATAATTGTGTACTGTCATTTAACGACGCCTTTTCAACTGCACATAATCACAGAGAACTCAAAAAACTCCGAATAGATTTTGATAAACACTTCAGAATCAAATGTTTGACAATAAAGTTTGCAGACTTCGTTAGTGCCTTTCCTGAGCGAAAGCGCATGGTAAAAATCTGCAATCGTTTGCCGCGCAGTGTTTCAATTGCCTTTCTAAGCCTAGTCCGAGTAAGAATTAGAATCGATCTAATTTCATAAGGCACAAGGAAAAGAAATCGTTTGCAGAATTCTGAATTCTATAAAACCTAACGACCGACAGTAACTTTATATCTGTAAGGAATGTTACACCTCGCCTTTAAAGAAAACATTTCTTACTTAACACATAAACCAACTGATCAAATACTCTTGGGCTACAAGCCGCATCAGGAGGATGAACGGCGAACAAACCAAATCTTCCGGCAACGTTTCGAGAGCCATGTTCTCATCCTCAGGGTGAGAGGATGAAAACCTGACGCGGCTTGTAGCCCGAGAATATTTCATGAACTTCAGTCGCCGCGAAAGCTTCACTTCACCAATGGTTAAATGAAAGAAAAAGTTTCACTTCAGTAGTCTAGTCACTTACCTCCTATGAGGGAGGCTCTAATCAAATGTTTTGTAAATCGAAAATTCGTTACACAAAACAACTTTCTCAATAATTTAAAGGCAATAAACACAAATATGATGGCCGGTGTTGGATCTGCGGGTACTGTTACCAGCGGGAGTTACGATAGGCCTACCGGAGATCCCACACGAACATACAAATAATAAACGAAATTACGTGGTGCACCATACACATTTATTACAGTAAACTGTTGTTACTTTGGAACGAACAGAAGCAATTAGAACAAATGCACAGCATAGTGATACAGAAGCTAATGGGCGAGGTTCTAAGGTTGTACAGAAAATTACGTATAACGACCAGCAAGTTTGGGCGAGGTTCTAAGGTAGTAGAGAAAATTACGTATAACGACCAGCAAGTTTATGATTTTTCGAAAACGTCAACAGGAACATTCAATTCAAATAATGTTCGGAAACCTGTTTAATGCAGTCTCAATCAACAACATATCAAATATTTTCGGGCATAACGTGTTGAAAGTGTGGTGGTAAAAACAAAAGTCGAAGTAGATCAACTAACAGAAGCATCTGTCGTGGTGGAATGTGCAACGCTGCGGAAAATAAAAATAAAATCCGCAGGCAGTAAGTCTCAGTGTAACTTTTCAAGACGACAACAGTAGAATTACGTAAGTGCTTAAAAGTAAATATGTGGAGTCGGATTTATAGTTAGAAAGTTTCGCTCGGTTTATCAGTATAGATTACATGAAACATTTGCTTTGCGGAACGGAGAGCAAAGCGTACGCTTCACTGTTACACAGCGCCTGGCAGCAAAATATAACCTTGATAAACAAAAGCAAACAAACAGGCCCACACCCGGATGCCTATCACGGAAAAAACAACAACAACAGAACTGGAACAAGTATGGAGAAGAATATCCAGTGGCCAGGCTTTCTTTCCATGTTTTATAGGCGTGAAGCTCAGGGTGAAAAGCACACTGACAACGTCAGAGAACAAAGCGTAAAGATATATACGTACTTTACACTTAATCATTCCGTTCTGTGTTGTCCCCCTCCCCCCAGATAATAACACACACATTAAAAACAAAATGTATTTCGGAAATAGCTGCTGAACTATGTACCTCAGGGGCAAGGTTTGTCAACCCTATAAAGTGGTGAATAGATGGAATAATAAAAATAACAATAATCCGTCACACACAGCTATAACCTAACCTGGGAGGCTACATGTTTCGGCGAATTCAGAAGACGCCCTTGAAGCCTATAAGAAAAAAAATTCTCTGATGTAATGTTACAAGTGTTGGCAACTACATTTGTTAGAATGAATAAAGGTATAAAATTATTGACCTGTGTGAAAACTATGATGTATTATTTGTAGAGCATAGGATATTGTAGATGCGCGATGCATATTCAGTATTAAGTTCCTAGACTAAAATAAAGGCGAGCAATGCAGACCGGAGTGTTGTACGGCTTCGTAAAATAATCCGTGAACTGAGGCACGGATTTCTTAACCTCACCGAACGTCGTGGTCGAGTGGTTAACATGAAAAGCGCTGATTGGGTTCGAAGCCCCAGTAAATAATGAATTTAAAACATGAACAACAGAACCTCTCACATTCTCCACGGAAGCCTGTATCTCAAAAGCAATTTACTGGAAGGCCACAACCCAGAAGCTTGCTCCACGCAACTTGGTTCCACTTCAGATGATACAAAACACGACATGTGAGGATATGAAATACTTCCAGCCATGACATTACGGAAACCTTCACTGCTGAACTTCAAAACTAGATCCGGTAATAATTCCATTCTGCTGATTCAATCGAAGGTAAATTTTACTGTAAAGAGAAAAAATATTGCTCATGCTCAGCGATTCACGAAAGCAAACAATGCAATACAGAAATTCCTTACTTTGGTATGTAAAGCGTGAAAAATTCGGAATTATGGATAATGCTTCACACCGTCGCGGTCCGGGTTTAACAGCCAGTGCAATCCACGCGGGACTTAAACCGGGCAAAGTGTGTGGCAGGTTCTTCTCCGAGCACTGTACCTTGTTCTTACCCTTCGCCACCAATTACACTCCTTGAAGTATGATAGGAATCTTGTTAATTATTCAAGGAATGAGTTGGTGCAAAACGTGTTCAACACAGTTTCTGTAAAGTAAACATCTGATAACACACTTCTCAAATGCATCCAACTCTAACAACACAGACTTACGAGACACAACGTTTCGTGACGGCCTGCGTAGTAAATAGCTCGCTCTTGGACCAATATAAGTAGGTTATAACTTATAGTTTACATGTGTTTCACGGCCTCTGTTTAGATACCTGTCTTTCAAAATTTTCGTAAACTCTTCTTGTTTCCCCATGGAAATCTGGTGCTATAGCAGACATTCTAAGCAGTAGCCGAGTCTCAAATACTAATCACATACTAGCACAGAAACTGAAAGTAGTAACCTCAGCTGGAACTGTTAGCAGCATATAGGCTTCAAACCGCATCTCAAACTATTTATTCCTACATTTGCGATTCTTCTGAAAACATCCCTTGCAATGACAGTTCTCATGGCCAGTTGGTTGTCTGCAGTCTCTCTGTTCGTAGGCTGAAGGAATGGAATACGTTGTAGGATCTCCATTGCCACAGGACATGCTGGCTTCTGGTTCTCAACTTCATCCTTATTTGTCGACATGTCTGTGACAACTGCTGATACTTTTAGGTATGGAGCAATGAGTGACCTTCATACAGGTATATTTCCGTCATTTTCAAGGGCACATTCTTCCTACTTGTGAAACAGTTTTATTCGTCAGGTTTGGTCATGATAAATAAACTGAATTATAGTCTAGATACGTTGAAACAAAACTGAAATATCTACAAGAGTAATTTATAATGGTCGCAGTAATAAAACTCCATGTTACTGGGAAAGTTCATTGTTTTTTATGAAATACGACGATAAGATTGGGTTTACCCAAGAAATGACTGTGACCACATTTAATCACTGCCCTTAACAGAATGAAAATGGCAAATTTCTGAAGAGACATTCGGATGACTGAAGCTAAACTACTTTGTTTTTGCAATAATCACGACGATTATGACAATTATAATGATAACCTGACTTCATATTGCGAAACTAAAGCCTAATTTAGAAAGAAATTTCCTGTGGTAATGGACTCGAAGTGCTCAGCGAAAGGTTCCAAAGGATTAAGCCAATCCATTTCCTTAATGCTGGACTTAATATCAGAAATTGAAAACGGACGAAAAATCTCAATGTTTTTCAAAGCAACAATTAGAAATACACAAACCTACATATGTAATAGTATGCATATAGCAGAATAAAATGGGCGTTATGCTGGACTGATACTAATAAACATTAAATTCACCCACACATATAAACACTGAAGAATCATATTAAAATTAATCAGGAAAAATACGGCAGTAGGGTATGAACAAAATTTAGATGGCTCAGGATTACATCCAACGGCGAGCTTTAATGAACAGGGTGACATAATTCAGGTTTCATAAAAGCACGGCATTTCTTGACCAGATGAGTAACCACTTCTTGCATTATGGAGTTAGACTGTGATAAACACAATGTACACAACTTTATGAAGTTGCAGTTCTTACTATAATAATTAATACTAGTCATGTAAAATATTTATTAAAACGAGAGCAGGTATCTATGATCGTTGGGTTTTATTATTACATCGGCATCTAAATGCATTACCACATCTAGGCGCCATTGGATAAATGGTTATTTCTGCAGTCTAAGTCCACAGCTAAGTAACCTACTGTGTATAATACAGCACAAATACTTACCCTGCAGGGTAGGCAACTACTTCTGTCTCCGGGTCGCAGTCGAGCGCTGCATTGCTGGATACTGTCAGCCCAAGTACCCGTTCTAATTTCACCTGCAACCAGAACAAGCAACTGCATAAGAACATTAGACGGCGCATAACAACTCCAGACTGTATGGAACATATGTGATGGACGAATGAGCCGAGGTAGTTTAGTCAGGACAGTGTCTTACTATGGACTGGACGACCAGGGCTCTTCTAGCCTCTGCCTTCATACCGGCCCCGTGGTCCATCTACCCAGTGGGTACCGGGGGTCATTTCCCCGGGGGTAATGTGCCAGGGCGTGACGCTGAGAATTTCCTCAACGCCATTTCATGCCAACTAATACGTTTTCTTTGAACAGATTAACAGATTTGGATACAGCAGATCGATACGGATCAATTTAAATTTCACGCAAAGTAAGTGTGCACAGTGTGTTTCAACAGATTGCTTAAATTACACCAATCCGCAAATTCTAATCAGGACCGGTACTTTTCCCTACGGATGCAAAAACCACGCTTCGCAATTAGCAACTGTTTTTGGTTTCCTATTAACGACTGAATAGTTATAATCAGCATGAAGTTTAGGCCCTGCTACGTTTCTTTCCATTTCTGGGCACTTAACGATGTAACCGGTCGAGTGGTAGGGAAGAGGACACCGATCCTCGGAAAATAAATTGTTTTACCGTGAATCGAGAAAGTTAGAATTACTTTTACCTGTATCGGATCGCCTACTTTTAGCGACAGAAACCTAACCTGTTGAGAAATTTTTAACATGAAACATAAGAACGTATTGGCAGTCACTCAATTAAAGATCCTTCTGCAAACAACGCAAAATTACCACCACTAGACTTCATCTATGGGATTCTCCAACCAAAATGCTGTGCTGATATTTCAATGCGTGAGCTCCAGGGCCGTCATAAACGGGACGCACCTGCAGATAATTGAACCCAAGTCGTCGAACCTGAATCCATTCAATTCATTGACAGCGTGCGACCACCACAACACCGTTACTTATCGAGGACCTAATGTCCTGCCGCAGCAAGCCCAGGCACTACACTAATTAGGAGGTCCTACAGTGGTCAAGCTAGCTACAAGAAGTCTCGTCTCTCTACATGAATTCACATTTATATTTCCTTCCTGAGCATGTAGACTACAGAGCTCCAGAAATGCGAATGCCCATTTGTCACGGGCAAGTCAACCAGAACAAGAAGCAAGTATGAAGACATATGCTTGTCTTCTACGGATGTTGCGACGTGTACGTTGTGAAGTAGACACTGACTGGCGTTTCAGAGGAGCTTAATGTCTCCATTATCAGAGCTTAGCTAGATTACAAGATGCAACATCCCAGAAGACAGTCATCTTCATACTCGTCGTCGTGAGAACCTTAAATTTCACCAGGATGCAAGTATATTTTCAGAACAGTAAACAACTGTTTCCCAACAAGCATCCCTTCTTTCCAAACTGCTTCACAATGGAACTGTGTGACCCCAGCAAGAATTTAACGAGAACGAGGATTTTCAGCCAAGTGTAGCCAATAAAAGGAAAGCTGACGTCATCAATAAATGCACCCACTCTTAATGATTTACTTAAGTGCAGCATCTAACACACGAATGGGCCTTCTATTTATAATTATACTGCAGATGTTTAGTGGTTAAGTGATATGCAATCAACGAAAGATATTTACTCCATTGTCACATATTTAACATTTTTACTTTTTTAGTAGGTTATAAGAAATTCTCTACGAAACTCTTCCTAATAGTTACTTCAACGAAATTCAATGTCCATTGTAAACACAACTTGCAAGTCTTGAATATCTGACGAAACACGCAGAAAACCTTTTATATTCTGTATGTAAAGCTTGAGAGACAAATTATTTCCTTCAATATTAAAAGGAATAATATACTCTAATGGAGTACACATTTTCTCATAACTAACTGGACTCATGTTGAAATACAAATACAAATCTACTGTTGCAAAGCTAACCAAACTACAGACAGGCCCATTATCATAATGCACACTTAGAAATAATTTTCTTTGCATTTTAACAACTGTTTGAAATAAAATAGCAGTTTTTGAATAGGACTTCGTGTAAACTACTAACACTGAACGATGAACCGAAAAGTTTAATTCGGCTTCATATAAAGCAGGGGGCTGTAACTGATCGAAACGCACCAATATTAAAATTACCTAGGAATTTACACCCCAATACCAGGTTTAATCGACATCCATTCAGCAGTTTTGCAGATGAAACAAGCGACCAGCGGAAGGACAAATAGGTCAAACGTGTTCACTTCGTACAGGCTGTGCAAAGAACGCATACAAAAAGGAGACAGTTAAGGTGAATACAGTTGTAAAGTAGTGTTTCATGCAGGGTCTGTAACAGACATCAGATTAACACACAATGGAAATTGGTTTACTGTATAAAATCCAGTACGGACGATGCTCGGAAAAAAATGTCTTTTGTACGTTCACTGGTAGCTTGAACAGAACACAAAGAAAGTTACTTGTTTTCACAATAATACTCTCCCTAAGATCGGTTGGTGGGCATGAAAGTGAATTCCACTTGCGTCTTTGCTTCGCACACACACCACATACAGACAGTTTAACAAACCACGAACCATGAAAGCGCTTACATCCCGAGTACTTCTGCCTGTGCCAAATGGGGTACATCATCAACAAAGCTTTCAGTCTTTTAATCGGGAGGTAAGCAACTCCACAGTGCAGCGCCTTCAAACAAACAACGATTAATATCAGAAGGTGCATTACAGTGCTCACAAAAGAGTGATATCAAAACCTATCCTACACCAGATCAATCATTCAAATCACTATTATCTAAGACGAATTTTAACATTCCGCCACCTATGTCTAGGTCATATAAGTGGGTTCTTCCCTTCCGGTTACCCAACCAAACTTTCTTAATTTCTCATTTCCCAAGCCTGCCAATGCATTTTAACATTCCGCCACCTATGTTTAGGTCTTACAAGTGGGTTTTTCCCTTCCGGTTACCCAACAAAAATTTTTAAATTTCTCATTTCCCAAGCCTGCCAATGTCTCGTCCACAAACTCTCTTTAATTTAACCCTTTAAAGTCCAGCAGTTCCTATGGGCTTCTATACCACACGCAGTAACACAGTAAATCTGTGTTTTGCCCACAGCGTATTTATGGCTTTCCTGTGTTTCTTAGAACAAACAGAGAGATATTATTTCCATAAAAGCCACCAATCAGTGATCTTCGCAGAAAATACCTGAGGGCGTTTTGGAGGTAAGAACAGAACTTTTAAATATTATGTACATTAACTTCAGTCTTCAAAGAGTTAATCACCGCAGCGTCATCTGAAGAGCCCAAACCACAAACCTCGTGTTGTAAATACCTAAATTTCTCTAACAATAAACGTCTCGAGTTTTATTTAGGAGGTACCTGGTTCGAACCTGTTAACCTAGCTGGATTTTTCCTAATTTATCCCAATCCTCCCCGGCCGTGACAGTACCACGACCCGCTTCCTACAATTTCCTTTCCCCTTTCACCTCAAGCAGCAGTAATTATCATTATCACACCCTTTCACCGGTTGCGATGGTCCATCACGACGAACAGAACCTACTCACAGCTGTGCCGTTCATTGACAGAGAGACAACCACAGATTATGGAGCTCGAACCTAATAGCCACTTAATAGAATCCACTCGTCCATATATTTAGACTGAAACGAGAATGTACTTGTCACCGGCCTCAGTTAACTCGCCCATGACGAGTGGCAAGAGTACTTCTGAAGCCCTGGCATGAGCTAAGAGATCAGTGTAACAGAAAGGTTCCTACTCCGAGAGAAATAAAGAAAGCGAGAAAGTGTTTAAGTTAAAACAATGCCATATTTATTCTGATGAGGTCCTAAGCATGCACATCCATATTCTTCCATGCCTTCCTAATTTTTACGAAATCTTACAAACCAACTTCCTTATCACGTGGCCCTACAACAATGAGGGCGGCCATCACACCCAAACCAGAAATTTTACGAAAAAGTACAAAATTTTATTTGTGGACTGTTCAGTCATTTTCCTCTTCGAGATAAAAATTACACTCATAGTCCAAATTGTTTTCTATAGTACGAGGCCAATGGGCAATGAAAACACGAGAATGCGGCCAGCACGGAATTTGTGAAATGAACGCATAACAGGGAAATCTACACGTTCGGATTATCCACAGGCCTATCCGAAACCAATGAACGTAGTCTTGTATCAATGAATTTGGGAATAAAACATATACCTCTAAGATTTAACACTTGTTTCTCGATACATTGATTAGAATTTAACGAAATGCAAATAATTTCTTGCTGTGCAGTGTGAAATCTGTGATGTGACTGACTGACTGCTTTGCAACTACAGATCTGTATGAATGTCGATGTCACACAGCAAAGAACGCGTTTGGAAAATAGGCTATGTGTATTCTACTGCAATACAATTTCTCTCTTGTTTCATCCTTTCTCGTTATCTGCACGAAATGGACAAAATTACAACATAATGGAGAGAAAAGTCCATTTGCATGTTTCATCCCAAACTACTCGACTAATTTCGATTAAATCTGGTGTTAGGTATCTGTATTGAAAGTTATCCGTAAAACTTAATCTTGGTTCGTATTCCTTAAATATAAGAAACATTCTGCTTCAGACTTACATATTTTCTCAAAAAGGAATCATCGTACAAAAAAGTGTACGTTACATGTGACTTACCATATTTTACTTGAAACTTTGTTTTGGTATGGCGAATATTTAACAACATACACCGAAAAATATTGTAACTCTGGGCAGCGTGAACAGCTGTTAAAACCTGAATTAAATTTCTCGTCTATCTTTAATTTCTTTAATTGTGTCCATAAATTTCTTGGTTGTTAACTGAATGTACTCATGTTCGACAGTGGCGGAATGATGCGAAATCATTCCTACCTGAAATGAGAATTTTACAAGAAACAATGAAGCCAATGGAATTTTCAAAACATTAATTTGTGATTCTGTACAGATCTGCACAAACAACAGATGAAGTCAGTGAAGTTTACATGTAACAAGGAAAATTAAATGATGATTGTGG